GTTTCCAGCCTCGGTCTATTACCATTAGATCATACTCTCTGTCCAATCACATTTCTATACGGTTATCTGTTTTTTATCAAACCTAAGCATATGATAAGTTTCCCTTGGGTCTTTGGGTCTTTATTTCTGAAAGCTCTCATGCCACATAAAACTTTGATGAAATACATTTATAACGTTATGCTATTCCCTTGTTAACTTGCATTTTGTTATAGGAGTGTCAGCCGTGATCCTTATGATGGGCAGAGAAGCTATTACACCTTTGTGCCCTTCATTAATACGATGTAGGCATTTCTGTAAACCAGCTGTCGTAGAGATAGCTTTTCTCCATGGACTTTCTACAGCATTAGGCTGCAGTCTCTAGTCACTGTTAGGCTGCTTACCTGCCCAAGAGTTTTCAAGTTTCCAGAGTACATCCTGAACAGTGCTCTCCCACCAAAATGTCAAAACGCTGATGTCTGAAATTTATTCTCTGACCCTTAGAATGAAGTCAGCTCTGAATGAATTTGTCATACTTCATCAGTTTTCTACATTTTTTTATGACAACTAAGTGTTATTATATTTTTAGTGCACTTCTCTAATTAATATTTATCCTTTTTAATTTGGTAAGATACTTGCTTATTACCCTTTCTTTAGATTAGTCTTCCCAGTGGAAAAGATACAAAATAGGACTTTATTTCTTTTGCACAGAAGTATGCTTGTCTGAAGCCTCTGTGTCTTTAGCTACGTGTCTTTTCTTTATGTGCTCTAAAACTAGAGTAGGAAGAAGGCAGGCCCTAGTCCCCCGGCACAAATGCTGGGCCTTAACTTGTGTCTCTGTGCTCTGTAGGAGAGCCACAGAATTCAGGAATCTAGAGCATGGCTGAAGGAGTTATTAGGCTAACCCTCCTAGTGGGATCATCCAACATTTAAAGAAGTTTATTATTGAATTTTACTGTTCATATCTCTCACCTGTATCAGGGTGAGTTATAGCAGACTCCAATAGCTATACTATCCCCACAGGTCAGTTTAAACACTCGCTAAATTAATTAATCAATCCTGGAAAATATGAAATGTATAAAACTATGTCTTTAAGAAAACTGTAAGTGATATTCCTAAAACTCTGGGTATGATGATCTAATTTTGATTAAGAACTATAATTTATTCACATACATAATGATAAAAATGATATTTTAAAACAAAATTTGTGTCATTTTGTCCCTAGATATTTGGATTATGAATTATAATAAATTTTCATTTTCTTTTTGTGCTTATCTGATTTTTTCAATATTTTTTCTATAAATATGTATTCAGTTACAAGAAAATACAAATTGTCAAACTACATTGATAGCACTATGCTAGCCCTTGCAGTGAGGTTGAAGGATTATTAAAATAACATTATGTAGTCTATGCTTTTAGAAACTTATAATTTGGTTTATTGACCAAGGACATATGCAAACAAAAATTGAAGTAATTATATATTAAAAATTTAAAGAGTATAAAAAACAATAAACATATTTTGAGGTAGTATGTAATGATAAGTGACAACGAAGTTTCTATCTTTAAATAATCTTATTTATTTATTAGAAAATAAACCTTATAATGTATTTTGATCCCCTTTGTTAGAATGAGAAAACTGAGGACTGTTTATCGATCTGACTTGTAAACCTATATATAGATTATAACATAATAACAGCTAATATTTACAGAGTGCTTATTGTGTGCCAGGAACCGTTCCATGTTTTCCCATGAGGTTAAGTATGATACAATGGTTCAGAGGGCGTTTCCTTGAAACTTCTGCTTAAGTCTTTACTTTGCTATTAAGAGAAGCCATGTGAACTTGGGCAAATCATTTATCCTGACTGGGCCTTCATTTCTTCATTTTGAAAACTAAGGCAATAATATCTGTCTTACAGGGTATTAAGTGGATTAAATAAATGGCATACATAAAATAGTGCAAATGTGATATTGTGTTAGCTATTACTACAATATATTAACTCATTCAAATTTTATAACAGTATCAGGCAAGCATTAATGATATCATTAATATTAATATGTCTACTTTTAGATGGAGAAATCAAGGCCAAGAAATGTTAAATGATTTACCCAGAGATACTAGGTGGCAGGGCTAAATTTGAACTACGGTACTATCACTCTAGTGTCTATGCTTGGAACCACTCTATTGAACTGTGTCTTCCAATTATAAACAGTTCAATATCTTTAACATTATGAATAAGTTGCCGATAAGTAACAAGTAATGCATGTCTTCATTATGCCATAAAATAAATATGCTTTTGATTATCTACGTAACACATGGTATTAGAGTTTTAATAAGTAAAGAGTTGTCTCTGGTATTTGGTAAACTAATTTAATCAAATCATATATTATTAGTGAGGAAAAGGGTAGAATTCTCTCTCCTCTCTCCTCCTTCTACCCTCTCTCTCTGTCTTCCTCTCCATTCCACACTCCCACCCATTCTTCTACCTAGCTAGAATTGTGTTGCTTTTGTTTGCCTGAGGGTCAGTGTTGGTAATGGAAACCTCACAGTGAATTCACATCTTTTTCTCTGAGATATAATTGAAATCTCAGAAGTCATTGACTTCAATGTGGAGTTCAAATTCTTATTCCAAAATATTTTGCATGATTATTGCCATACCCTTAACATTTCAGTACTTTAGATGGGAAAGGGTTTGATAATATAAATGGTTTAAAATAGTTTTATTTGAAGGAGTAACAATAATAGGGTAGGCACATAATTTATTTGACATATATTTGCTAATGTAATCACAACTATCACTGGAAAAGAAGCCAAATCAAAGCAATTAAATACTTACGCTTGAAGAATATTCTAAGTTCAATAAAATTTAAACCAATTAGAGAGTTTTTAAATTATTTTAAATTGTGAGTCATAAATATCAACCTAATTATATATCTGTGGAATGGCTTTGTTTTGTGACCCTAAAATAGTTAAATCCAGTGATTCTCACCCCGGCTGCATGTTAGAATCACGTTAGAATGGGGCATGCGGGTTAAAAATCCTGATCTCCACTTTACACCATTGACCATAATCTGTTGGGGAGGGACTCAGACCTCATTTTTCTGCAGATTCCCAAGTGATTCCAATATGCTGAGTACAATTGCTTTAACAGATTCCTGAATGTTCATGTACACTGAACTGAAAGTTTGGCTCTTCAAAGGCATTCTATTAGAATAGCAGAATTTGCTTCTCAGCCACTTGAAGTTTGGCTCTCATCGTAGGAGCAAGCATCTTCCCATAGAGAAAGGATGTTCAATTTGGCAGAACTCTGAGCACAGGAAGAACCATGAAGGACATTATTTATCTTTTCCCTGGGCTTGCGGCAATCATTACACACGAACATGTTTATTTATTAGAATAATAAATGGTTTTGTTTTTAGATTCACATGCAAGAATCTCAGCATCTTCAAAGAAGGACCTTTCATAGTCTCTAAAATCTCAAACTCACTTGTATTTTACCTTTCCTTGCTCTCTGCGTGTATATGAATTTTGGCAGGCAGAATTTTCATTGATTAAAATCGAAGAAATATTTTTTTCAAATAATGTTTTAAAAGACCCAGATATTTCCAACAGATGAAAAGCCAGCAATTGGGTCCCTTGCTTTGAAAGAAAAATACAAGGATACAATATTCTTAGAAGTCTATTTCTTTCCAAGAATCTTACATTTGTTGTTAAAGCCAATAGCTTCATTGTCAGGTAATAGCAAATCAGAGCTTTCTCTCTACCCTGGGGGTACTCTCCTGAATAAATGGAGCTCAGGCCGCTGTCAGACACCAACTAAATTAAAGAGCCGTCTTTTAATAGCTGAAGCATGAAGCTATTATCTTCCTGAATATACCACCTACTGGGAAGCAAAGACTACAGAACCATCTTGACATGCCTCTAAATAATCCTAAATGGAGGGCTCAAGAAGTAGAGATAGGAAAGGAAATATCTTCTTCTTACACTTCTGGTGTCAGTTTCTTCTTAGTTCATTTTCTTCCTCATATTCTCCAATAATCTGGGCTTTTATGACTCCTCTTATACATCTACCATCATAGACAGGGTCCATCCTGCACAAGAGAAGTCTTATTATAATATTAAGCTCTGTCACTCTGTAGGAAAGTAAGGACATCACAATAGTTTACTATTTTATTTAAACATTATGAAACTCTGTAAGATCCTTCAATATTAGTATCAAGCAAGTTTCATATAAGACCAGGCCATAATATACAAAAATTGCTGGCAAGGTGAAGATATCATCCATCTGTGTAAGAACTGAAACACTGAAAGTAAATGATTTAATTTCATATTATTCTTGGACTTTTTTCTTCTCCAAGGCAATTAATGTATTGCAAGTAAGTATGGGAAAAATTTTAAGGTACATTTTTATGTACCTTAAAATTGTCAATGTCAATGACAAACTCATTTAGGTGTGTTTCTGTTCAAGTCATTGCACCAGCAATAGATCCTTGCACTCAAGAATTCATTTCTGTATATCAGAAAAATCCAGAAACTATTTTTTATGTTGAAAATCCAGAGCAGGCATGGAAATATTGCAAAATATATTCCTTGTTATTGGAAGTGTAAAGTGCTAAAGAGAAGAACTTAAGTATGAAAAGAAAAACCTTTCTTTTAATTCAGCACTCATGATTAAGTTATAAAGCATTTAAAATGTGTTAATCTAATCAACAACACCATAGATTTCTGGGAATGCTGAACTGGTGGGCAAAATAAATTATGCTTTGAGTCATACACAAAGAGAAAAAAGTCAGTATATTTTGGGATAATACTATAGTTGATTTAGCGACATCATATATATGCTCTTTTTTTTTACTTTGCAAGAGTACTAGGAAATGAAAATTGTACGTATTTACAATTTGAAGTCAAATGTATCAGAACAAGAATGAATTAAATGCCTTTTTTTTTTTGAAATAATGTATTTACAGAGTTTGACACAAAGAAAAATAGCTAAGATTCTACAATTCAGAAGAATTAAAAGATACTTCAGTAACACAAAATTGACTTTTAATGTACCAGTTCATTGTATCTTACAGAAAATGAAAACATTTTTTTTTTTTTTTTGGTAATACAGATTGATTCTTCTCCTCAAATTTATACTTGATGTCTATTAAATGCCTTTAAATATTGGTTTTCTTTTAATCAGGTGGCTTAATGACTTTTGTATTTTTCATCTCTTTCGTTGTACATCCATTGCCACTCTGGCAGTAGTGAGCTATGATACAGTTAACTTCTTAACAAAACGATGTCAGTTATCCATTGATATTTCTTAATGCATTCTATGCTAAAGACTGATAAGGGATTCCCTTTTAATCCTCCCCTCCTTAGTGGTCAGCTACTCCATGAGACCACCATATTCTTTGGAGTACTAAAATCAAGAAACCCAGAATGGCTGCCAGCAACCAAATTGGAATCTCCTTTGAGTCTACTTCTAATTGCCAAAATAAAAAGTGACTATATTATTGCATAAAATAACACTTTAACAGGTACCGGCCCCCTTTCCATGAGAGAAAGTTTAAATTTACAAATGCCATATTTGGCTTAAAATTACTGTGATACAATATGGCAGTACTCATTTAAAGATGGCTTCCAGTGTTAATGTGAACAACTTATTTTCACTCTTATATTGTCTTTTTATTTGAATTGCTTCTTTTTGTTTGGGTTTTCCAATGCAGATGTCTCAGTGAAATGTGCAGATATACTTTGTTCCTTACACGGTCACCAGTGTTAATTATGGACAAATACATTAGAACAAGGGTTCCTAGCCCAGCCTCCCACCTAATCTCTTTGACACTCTTGGAATCTAAGTCTGAGGAGCGATTTCTGAATTAGCCAGTGTTGTACCAAACTTTCTGTTAGAAATTGTATTAGAATAACCTTTCTTTTTCAGACATGCTCAATGAGACATCTTGGGTAATGAAGTAGGAAAATAGACATTTGGTGGAAAAACAGCAAAATGAGAATATTAAAAAGACTAATTCAAGTAGGAGTATAAAGGGCATGGAAATTCTGATCCTTTGAGCAAAATGAGAAGACAAAATTTCTGCTCAGCAGTATTCATTGTGTTAAGATTTTTTTGTTTTTTACATGAATGGAAAAATGATGTGTAATTGCCATGGATTTTAATCAGCTAACAGTCACTCCAGAGATTTTGATCAGCACCAATTCCTGTACTAGTAAGTATTTAAAAGTTAAAAAATACTACTACATTTAACATTATAAAGGTAGAGTTCCGGACATAACTGAAAATTAGATGCTTGCTTCAATAGAAATTTGTTCTACTTGTATTTCCAACAAAATTATCAGAACATACATAATAACAGTTCAAGTATGGACTTCTTCCAGTGAGCTAGCCCCCATTTTGAGGTGTTAAAGTTGTTATTTGGGAGAAAGTCCCCTCTTTAAATAACATATCATCTTATCCTAGACCATTTAGGTATTTTCTTTAATTTAGAAGTGTAAGTTCTATTTATACCACCAGTGTTTGAGTTTAAACCTTACAAAATCTTTGGATTTATAGTTTTGTACAGTTTGCATATCAAACCTAACTTAAAAATGTGCATGCATAACATTGTCATCTTTTAATATTAAAGCATCTGAAAATTTTCAGGTATGTTTTTGATCAAAGAAAGGACTTACTTTTATTACAGTATTTTGTCTGAATAATATATGATTATAGTTATGGTTTCATGGACTTCCAATTGTTCTATACCTTCCACACACGTAACTCTATCTTTATAGAGTAAATTTATTAGAATCATTACAGAGCCTTAAATGCAACCACAATCCATTCAGGAAACAGATTTATTTACTCATGTTCATGGGAGGAAAATCTACATAAAAACATTCATGAAAGCATACCAGCTATGTCATACTTGGATTATTATAGTAAATCCCATTTATTAGAATTCATTGTGAAACAATGGGAAACCATGAAATGTAATTTGAATACAAATATTGGTCCCTGTGGGGTCTCAGCAGTCATAAAAATATAGGAAAACAGAGCTTTATTTAAGATTGGAGCTGCTAATGTGGAAAATTGTGTTTTGAAGCTGGACTTAACCATTTATTCAAAACCCTGAAGATTTTAGTGTAAACTCTTTGATGACAGTTTCAGCATTTAATTTAAGCCAGCAAGGATTAAGCCAGCAAGGATGACCAGCAAGGAAAGTGACATCATTAACCACATTTTCTATTTGGGATAAGGTTTAGAACTACACTGTTGACTTTTCCCCCCAAACACAGGCACTAGTTGGGTTTTCTAGTGTATATACAAATAGGAATAATAAGAATTTTGAAAGTTGGGTCTTTGTTTCTGCATTAGGGATTCCTTTTATAATGTTATTGATTTTCATATAATGTAAATATGGAATATTAAATAAGTTTAAAGTTATTTTTATAGGACAATAACATTTCATAGGCTAACAGAAAATCAAGCTGCTAAATTTTACAATTTTTCTGTCCAGCAGTTTATCTATATAACTGCCCTGAGTAGATGCTAAATGCTGCTTAGCAAATGGCCCTTAGAATTTAAATACAACTCAGTAAAGCTACTCAAAAGATAAAACAATTCCTCTCAGACGTGTAATTTTAAGAAGGTAGAAGTCTTTCATTGATTAAATATTATCTGCTTATTTATGTGTCATACTTCATATAAATGGGATTATTAAGGAGTTTTAACTGTGCTTGTTACTATGGATTGGAGTTCATATGAATTTTTTTTTTTTTTTTTGGTCAAAAAGGCAGGATTTTAAAGAGTAAAATATTCTGTCTATTGGAGACTTGAAATATTAACTTTTAGAAAGGTATAGATTGTTCCCTTGTGAAACTGAGTTTTGTATAACCTCTCAGTTTATGTAAAGAAGCCTGTATTTCAAATTTGTTGCTCTAATTTGTTTATTGTAGTGCATTTCAAAATTGTACAAATGTGTAAAGTTTGTGCTTGTAAAACCTGCTGCTCTGAGTAGCTTTACTTTCCTTAATTTAATCCTAGCAATTCTCAAGCTATTGCATGCCCCGTTCATGAAAGGATACTTTATTGGGATGATACAGCTTAAAGAGTTTGGCTCTAAGTCTCCTTACGTAGAGCTTCCCTTAAGTTTATATTAATTTATAATATATATTGAATGATAGCTTTACAAAAAACAAATCAATGAATTGATCTTTATGAAAATGACTCTTTACAGTAAGTAAAAAAGGGTTATCACAGTTTTGGTAACTTGCATGAGTTCATATTGGAAAAAAAAAAAAAAAACACCTTTCACATGTTCTTTATGACTTTAAAACTGATGTGCTCTAGGGGCACATTCAGTTGTATGCTCTGAAGCAGTAGACACCATACAGCTTATGCTTTTTATCTGGGAAACCCGCGAAGCGCACTGCAGCCTCAGTAGGACTGCAGCGCCTTCTTGGCCTAGAGATAGGGTAGCGGACGCTGCCATCCGCCAACCAGCCCGCATCACAGCGGTCATATCCAAGAAGTTTCCAGGCAGCAAATATCTGGCCCACTTTTGCAATCTGAGCACCATCATTGAGACAAGCTTGTACCGCTTCATCATAGGTCAGTTTGGTGGGGTGGATCAGATAGTAAAAACGGCCTGTAGAGAGAAGGAGACAGAGTCAATGGGCTGGTCTTCAGTTAAGCCACACAGAGATAGAAGGAGCCAAAGACGGAAGTGTTTCTCAATGAAGGGGGATATAGAGCAATGTTTGTAAAGTTTTGGGAACATAGAAATGTCAATTAAATGTAGTGTCCCTAGGTCACTTCCATTAAATTAGTTTTTCCCTTGCCCCTTAATATGTGTCCAGACATGCCCCTTTTATAGCTTTAAAAAGAAAAGGGAAATGGCAGATACAGTTTCTGTTAGCTAATTAGTGACTAAAAGAGCCCTTCTGTGGCACTAGAGAAGACAGAATTCCATGTTAAAAGCAAGGGCTATTTAAATTCTAGCTGTAGCAACACTGAACCCCAGCACAAGTTTCTGGAGAGGCAAAATTTGAATGTGAAAGGATCAAAACACATTCCTGACATAAAAGTCCATTTAAAAAAAATCAAAAGCCCTCAAGTCCTTTTCATTACAGGTATCAATTAGACATTATTCTCATTCAAAGACTATGTATGAAAATGCATAAAATACAGGAAGTCACTTGCCACAGATAATACGTATTCAGAATGTAAACTTAGTGTGTGTTGGTTCACTAGCAAAGAAGACAAATTTGTTTAGTTTTTTCAACTTCCATTTGTTGAAACCCTGACACCTAACTATTTCTCGATTTCACTAGAAAGACAAATTAGTCTCGATCACTTATTGAACAGTGTTAATTACTGAGATTCCTTCAATATGTATTAAATATGTGTAAAATGTGTAAAATATGACTTCAACTGACTGAAAGTGATAAATACATACAGACTGAAGATTTTCTTATGCATCTTAGTTTTTGGTTGAATCTAATCAGCCTCTCTTACCTGATTAGAGATTGTAATATGATGTTCCCCTGCCCCTCATTAGATATAGGTTACTGAAGTATAAATTAATGCTTGCCAGTTCTTTCTAGACTGAGATGATGTGATTTGGAGAAAGGGTAGTGGCCACTGGAACATTAACCACAGGTTAAGTACCATCACCTATACCAGAGTTCAGCAAACTATACTGGAACATTAACTAGAGGTTAAGTACAATCACCTATACCAGAGTTCAGCAAACTATAGCTCAGGGGTCAAAAACTGGCCTCCTACCTGTTTTTGTAAATGAAGTTTTATTGGAATACTGCCATCTCCATCTGGGTTTAGTATTTTGATGGCTGTTTTTGTGCTATAACATACACACTTACAATGAGCTGTTGCAGCAGACACCATATGGCCAGCAAAGCCAAAAATATTTATGATACGGCCCTTTATAGAAAAAGATTGTTGGCCAGACACAGTGGCTTACGTCTGTAATCCCAGCACTTTAGGAGGCCAAGGCTGGCTGATCATGTGAGGTCAGGAGTTGGAGACCAGCCTGGCCAACATAGTGAAACCCCATGTCTCAAAAAAAAAACAAAGCAAAACAAAACAAAACAAAAAAACAAACCACAAAGCCAAAAAACAAAAATTAGCTAGGCGTGGTGGCACACACCATAGTCCTAGCTACTCAGGAGGCTGAGGAGGGAGAGTCACTTGGGAACCAGGGAGGTGGAGGTTGCAGTGAGCCCAGGTCATGCCACTGCACTCCAGCCTGGGTGACATACAGGGTGATACCTTGTCTTAAAAAAAAAAAAAAGAAAAAGATTGTTGACCCCTGACCTATAATCTCTTTCTATTTTTCCCAAAGCATATCACCAGGGACCTAAAATATAAATGATGGGGCCAGGGCTTGCTTTGTAGGTGTGTGACCTGTGTCCTCACACAGGGTGCCACATGGAGAAGGGCTCTGCATTTAGTTTAATGCTCTGCTGTCACCATCTTAAAGTTTTTAACATTTTTGAACAAGGAGCTCCACATTTTCTTTCCTTGTTTGTTTGTTTATTTATTTATTTATTTTTTCTTTTAGAGATGGGGTCTCACTATGATGCCATGTCTGGTCTCAAACTCCTGGTCCCAAGCAGTCCCCTTGCCTTGGCCTCCCAAAGTGCTGGGATTACAGGCGTGAGCCACTGCACCCAGCCCACATTTTCATTTTACCCTGGGCCACACAAATCATGTGGCTGGCTCTGAACAGAGCAAGAGAAGGGTTGAGAGGAGTATGAATAAAATGAATCAGTCATCAACACTGCTGCAACCTTTCCTTCTGCTTTCACCTTGAGAGTTAGTTCTACTTTCTTTTTCTTGCTTATTCCCCACTTTGTCCTGAGTTCTGTTGATCATCTATGAATAAGTGTATATGTGATTGTGAGAGGGACAGCATGGGTAATAATGAAGGCACACTTACTTTGAGAGAACCATATCCTACGGAGGGCACACACTGGCAGCATCATCTTTGACAACAGGTAACAGACCTCAAACCACGTAACAGTTTCAACTATTTCATATAAAAATGGGATGAAATAAAATGTAGGAGTACTGAGAATATGTACTTGTGCTTGACTTATGTGGATATTTAAAAATTATGACACTCAAGAACTTTTTATATCTTTTAAAACTAGAGCAAAACTTCAAAGCTTGTTTTTGTTTGTTTTTCTAAGAAGATAAGATTAAAAGCCAAGTGTAGTGTTATAGTATGGAGTAGTCTCTGAGACAAGAAAGAAGGCAGTACAGTTATTATCTTACCATTGAAATTGGATGTAAAACAGAAAACATCATATCTGCTTTTATCTTTATCCCAAAATCCGTAGTTCCTGACTCCAGGCACCGTGTTCTGGCCCCCACAGGGCTCTCTGGGCTTTGTGATGGGATATTGCACAGAGCCGTCACTAAGCCAGCCGGCGTTGCACCAGTCCAGCCCGCCCCGCCAGGCGTCGTACAGCTGGTCGAAGGAGGCGATCACAGCATCCTGGTCCAGACACGCCTGCTGAGCCTCGTGAAAATTCAGATTGTAGCGCCCCAGTCGTGGAAAGTAAGGGAATACCACACCTGTGCAAAGGAGAAAGCAAGGAGTCATTAGAAGCCCCAAAACTAACAACTCTGAGCAAATCCCACCTAGCTGGTGAAAAACACAACAGACCCTCCGTCAGATGAGACAGTAGTTTTTCGTCAACTAGCAACTGTTTCTCATGATCCCTTTCCCCTTCAAGCAGCCTGTCAGTTCTGAGAATCTCATGATCAGCTTTTTTGTTTGATAGCTTCAGTGATTTACTGCTTTGGCTATGAATTCAACTCAAACCTTAAAATTTGCCTTTCTGAAGACATCTGTCCGCAGATTACAGTTTCCAAATAGCCCTCCCTGAGAACTTACCATTTACTGCCAGTTTCTAGCCCTATAATGGGTTACTACTGAGCTCCGTCACCCAGGGAAAACAGTCAGTATTGAACACTAAGAGTTGGTGGCAGATATAGAAATAGTCAGTGTTGAATACTAAGAGCGGAGGGGATGTAGTGCTCAAAGAGAAGGTATTTATCAAAATTCACAATGTTTTTCTTAGTAACTTTTCCTATATAATTAGTTATTAGTTTTATGTAGTCTTTTAAATGTATAAAGAAGCATATTAACAAATGATTCAAATGTAGATAAAAAACTCTTTTACATGGTCTTCTAATAACTTGCAGATAAGTAACCTTCACTTAGGGGGGATTCTTATTTGGAGAAACTTGAAAGCAAACTTGTCCAACCCATGGCCCACGAGCCACATGTGGCCCAGGACAGCTTTAAATGCAGCTCAACAAAAATTTATAAACTCTTTTAAAACATTATGAGTTTTTTTGTGTTTTTTTTTTTTTTTTTTTTTTTTTTTTTTTTTTAGCTCATCAGCTATCATTAGTGTTAGTATATTTTATGTGTGGCCCAAGACAGTTCTTCTTCTTCCAATGTGGCCCAGGAAAGCCAAAATATTGGATACCCCTGCTAAAGTGGATTCCATTGCATATCTAACAAGAACATAATTAAACAATCTTATTTCACATCAGACAGATCTGTACGGTGAGGCACGCCTCCATAGAAAGCATCATGATACTCTTATATGTTTACTTTTAATGTAGCCCTTAATGCTATTTTTTTCCTGCCCTTAAATAGCACGACTAAAATAAGGGTTTTAATTTAAAAGTATTTCCATTACTATTTTTCAACTTCCACATGTGTATATTGCAAACTGAAAGTAAGGGGTTTGAAACATTTTTATTATAAACAGGAAAAAAAAAAAAACTTCTCTAAGCTTGTTGTATAAAAGGTAGGTACAGAATAGACATCCATTGATTGACTAATGCCAAATAATTAAGTTAAATATTTTGAGGACAAAAGTTCCTTAGCAAATGTGAACAGTGTGACTTGGCATTTGATTTTGCCTGGGAAGATGTATGGCTTTCCAAAACATTTCTTTTGGTCAAATAATTATGGGAGGTGACTGAGCTGTCTCACAACACTCTGCCCAATTTCTTTAAAGCCTAAGGATTACCAAATAAGAAAGCAAAGTTACATCACTTGCTGAACTTTGAAAAGGACTACTGTGTCAGAGTATTTCTCCCATGGTTATTAAAAGATAACTAATTTAGAATCATTATTCAAGGGCTTGCCTTGAATTTTTGAATATAATTAGAAATAATTAGTATTTTAGCATGTGGAATGCAAACATTTGTCCCACTGACACAGTAATTTGGTGAGTTATAGCACATGTGCTATTTTACGAGACTGCAGATGCTATTCAAGATGAAGTACAAACTCACTAATAGCATAACCATATACAGGAAATATTTCTTTACTAAATTGTCCTAGAAGACACTACAAGAAGAAATTTCAATGGCCTTAAATCAAGTCACATCCACTGAAGGCCTCCGTAGGACATGTTTGTCCCTGTAGGGCAATCCAGCTGGCACCATCCATGAAAGGCAGAGATCCAAGAAGGCTTCCTGATCTCATTCTGCCTTCTCAGGTTCTTGGCTGAAGGATCTATAAGCTGAATCAGAGCCAAAAGGAAGGAGTAAAAGCCTCTCTTGGTTGCCACTAACTCCTGTGGTGATGGGGAGGGAAGACCTGGACATGGTTCTATCTAAGGAGGGCTCTGTCCAGGCACTGAGCTGGGAACCCAGTAAGTGCTGGGAAAAAACTATTATGGTGCCCTGATCCCTCATATCTTTTATCCTCTTTCCTCGGCAACCCTGGGAGTGCTGATGAAAAGGAAAATATTCAATTTATTCAGTAGACATTCCCTTTTTGGCTAGATCTTAAAGTGACAGAAAATCTCAAAGTGTCTGAACCTGAAGAGAGAAAGAAACCAGTGGGGTTGACTTCCATTTCCAAAATGGCTGAAGATGGTAATATTGGAGAATGCAGAATATTTTAATTTATATTAATTTTAAAGACCTGGAAAATCTCTCAGGTTTAAATTCACTGTAGTGTATTTTGGTAGACTCTCATAAATATCGGGAAATTTTTTTCTCTAGTAATTTGTCCTTGATTAACCACTGAGCATTACTTAGATATGATTGATTTAGTTCCACATCCAGTGCTATATATTTTTATTTGAGTTGTTTTCAAATTTAACATAATTTCATACAATCATGTTTTAGAGTCAAAGTGAAACTTATGTTAAAATTTTAGTATTTTTCAATTGTAAGAATTGTCAACTAAGTGTTGTATCAGCTCAAAAGATTTACTTAACAAATTTGAATTACTGTTTGATATGCTGGAAATAACATATTCCAAGTAAATCACGGTAAAGCTTTATGCTTTACTCAAAGTTTTAAAACTTTCCCTATATTCTACAAATTTCACATACACATTTCAACAGCAAGATGTCTCTTACCAGCAGGACCATTTTTGGAACTTCATGCTTGTTAGTATTTTATTTTTTTACTTGTTGTACTTCTGGCTAGCTAAGATTTTAACATCCAATTGCAACAACCTTCTTGGCTCTGTAGAAAAAATGTGCAATTCTTACAGCTGAATTATGGAGCAAATGGTTGCTTTTATCCAGTGTTGCAAAAATAAGAAAAGTTAAACTTTTATGGATGGGAAAGAAGGTGGTGTGATTATCCAAGAAATAACTGACTAATTTATCCTTCATACTTATATGTCAAAATATAATCAAAAGGGACATGTAAAAGTTAAAGTAAGTTTTAATAATTATATAAAGTAAATATTTCTAGTAATAAAAAGGCAGAGACCATATAGCATAAATAATATTACCTTCCTTAGTGCCTGTCATAGTGCTTATCAGTGCTATGCACATATCTGAAATTGTGTTTCTCTTTCTGATAGTTCTCAGACTATAATTTTGTATATTTAGCCCCGTTTTCACCAATGGAAGATGAATACAATGGAAGTTTGGAAGCATAAGTGTCATGTTTTTCATATCATTATTTGTGTATTTGTTGTTTGCTGTGCTCAGTTGAATTGCTGATTCTGTAGTCCAAGCTTCTCCCTGAATTCCTAGGGACACTCTTTTGTTATATCTGTATAAAGCTTGTTGCTTGTTGGGTGCTATTTCTAGGCAGGTAATTGGTGGCAATCAGAGGGCTCTGCCCTATCCAAGATTCTGTATGAAAATACTGTGTTTCCATATCTAATTCCAACTCAAATGGAGGTCAGTCTTTGTTAAGGATTTACAATTATTATTATTATTTTTTTGTCAGTGTGATTATACGGACAGTTCTTAAACAACAACTGACAGCAAGGCACTGTGCTTGGTACTCTAGGATATAGGTATGGGTGTGGCCTCTTCCTACATTTGACAGGATATATATCTATATATATCTATATATATATGATTTGAACCCAAGACAGAATAAATATATGTAGTTTGGAGATATATATATATATATATGGTTTGAATCCAAGGCAGAAAAAAAGCTTGCAATACAAATAGGAGCTATATAATTTAGGCATCATGAAGAATAATTTTTTTTCTAATTGGTAAAATTCTTTAGTGTAAATAGCATTTAAGCTGGTATTAAAGGACCAACACAATTAAAGATAATGTGCAATTACAGTTGGAAAAGCAGCTCAATCAAGGCATTTAACATGAGATGCTTCCCTGGCCCTTTGGTGCATGTTAGAAGACTGACAGGGAGCTTGAATACCACTGCCTGACTGGTAGATAGTCACATGTAAGAATGTAATTGATCATGAAAAAGGTTAAAAATGAAAATGAGAGCTAATAAATGATAACCAGAAGGCATGTCTTTTGCCATATGTGGTTCAGCACAGATTTCAAACTCTTACGCATAAAATCTGCTGCATCTTGAGCGTCTATCCCAGAATACGTGGAGATTGTCCTTAGCTTATGTTAAGTTTTCTCAAATTTTATTTTTATGGCTTTTATTTTATTGTTGTGGCTATCTTAACTTGTTGTAATTTTACTTTGAAATATCAATCCTCATCTTACTCTGAAGTATATTTAGATAAAATAATATCCCATCTGAGTTTTTCTTGAAAATTATTCTGTGGTAGTGGGAGTAAGAAAGCAAACTAAAATAAGATTGGCTATATCATGATACTTTTTGAAGCTGGATAATGATATATGGATTCATTATACTATTCCTTTTACTTTTCCAAATGTTTGAAATTAGCGACAATGAAAAGTTAAAAATTTTTATCCCACCCTGTCACCAATCTGAGACTTAATGCAGGCAAGCTGGAATGCTGTTGGTGGTATCTGTTGTTCACATATTTGCTTTGAGGAATTTCTCTCTCTTATCTATGGTGCCCTCTCTCCTGTTTTTCATGCTCTTTAGCTTTTGAAAGGCTTACCTTCATGGTCCAAATCAAGTATCTCTCTTTTTTTTTTTTTTTTGAGACGGAGTCTCGCTCTGTCACCCAGGCTGGAGTGCAACGGCACGATCTCAACTCACCGTAACCTCCACCTCCTGGATTCAAGCGATTCTCCTGCCTCAGCCTCCAGAGTAGCTGGGATTACAGGCGTACACCACCATGCCAGGCTAATTTTTGTATTTTTAGTAGAGATGGGGTTTCACCATGTTGATCAGGCTGGTCACAAACTCCTGACTCCAAGAGATCCACCCGCCTCAGCTTCCCAAAGTGCTGGGATTACAGGCATGAGCCACCGCGCCCAGCCAAGTGTCTCTTTCTTAAGAATGGTTTCCATGACTCCCACATTGCACGCACACTTTTTGTATTTGAAAGTACATTGCATGCACACTTTTTGTATTTGAAAGTTTAAACACTTTATTTCAAACATTCTTTTACTTGTAAACTATTTACTGAGCATGAATTTTGTTCTTGGCTCTTGAATGTCCTCAAGTAGATCAAGTTTAACAGACAAATTTACAAATATTTACAAAACAAAATGTGATTAGAACTATAATGGAAGTCTACATAAGGTGCTATGAGAACATCACGGAGGAGGGAAATTTAACAGCTACCAGGAGCACAGGACAGGTCCTAGCTTATTGCTCCAATAACTTTGGGCCTTTCAGAATTTTCTGAAGCCTGAAGCTGCCGAATGCTGCTGTTTTTTTTTTTTTAAAGCCTCTCCTCTACCAACAGAAAATTTCTCCTTCTTGCAAACCCTCAAATCACAGTGGAGTAGAGCATAGGCTTCATCCAATGCCTTTGTTATCAAATTCCAGCTCTAGCTCTTACTAGAGCTAGCCATGTTATCTTAGAAAAAGTGTTTGTCTTAAGCATCATCTATAAAGAAGGTTGACTGAACATGAACAAAATAAGTAGAACATATGATTATAGAAATTTGTGCCCACTTATTTTACTGACTTCTGCCTTATTTCATTAAATTATTTGAGAATCTTTAATGGACTATACGTTTGTTGAATGAAAAGAGCAAAGATTGGAATTCTTTCTATCTCATGACACCAAAACAGCACTTGTAAAAATATGTATCAATTAAATTGGTTTCTTGGACCGCATTTACTTAGCTCATATGCACATATGCTATATGGCAGGGAATGTTCCCTAAGCGTGGAGAATCTGGAGATTTGCAATGGTGCAGAGCCTAGGAGAAAAAAAATTGTTTACTTAGTCCCCTTTCAGCATCCCTAATTGTGTCTTGGAGGTGACTTGATTTGACCTTATAATGCATTATGCTGAACATAGGCTGAAGCTTCTTTTAAACAATGACCTTATTTTTATTATGTTTATTTTTATTATTTCCTTCTATTTCTGGTAAGTTATACTGGTTTCTTTTAATTTAGAGTTTAATTTTGTAAAATAAACATAGAGAGATAGTAAATATTGCATGTGAATTACTTAAGTTTAGGTAATATTTTGCTTTATAAAGATAGGGTTTTAGAAGAAAAAGTAACAACAGATAATAGATAATAGAATTATCTATTACAACAGATAATAGAATTCAAACTCATTTGAGGATAAGTGACCTGCCTCAATTACAAAACTGATACCGGCAGAGTTGAGGTGAACCTAAGCCTCTTAATATTACTAGCTCAAGGCTCTCTCCAACCTTTAATGCTCCTCTGATAAATAGTTTTAATTAATATTTGATGACCGACTGTCTTCTCTAAGTCAACTCCTTCCATCCTGAATAATGCCAATGTTCATGGATATTCATGTGAATCAATAAAAACTTAAAGCACAAGGTGGCATGTACTCAGGGCTGAGAACTATCTATGAGAGACAAGGAAAGGTCACAAAAATGTACTTTACAATGTTGTGCAATTTATTAGATGTATAAAGCAAATAAATCTCCATACATGTGATAGGATTGTATGGGATTCAAAAGGTCAAATAGTCAGTGATACGCTAGTGGACCAAACAGATATTTTTCCAAAAGCCACAAATCTGTCCTCGGGGGTAAAAGGAGCTTCTAACAAGCATACACTTAAGAGTTTTATGTAAACAAGGAAGGAAGGCATTCTATTAATGCTGCCAAAATCCACCCTTCAGTGTAAAATAATGCTGAAATTTATGAAAAATAAGATGTCTTGTGATCCATGAGAAACTAAGGAGAGGAGTGTCTCTAGACATTGGGCAGAGGGGAGGCAAGGATAGCAAGGACACTTTTTATTGTACGGCTTTGTACACAGGTTGGTTATTAAACCTATTGGATGGCTTACTTATTTAAGCAATAGAATTCTCCCACAAAATGCCCTGACCAAATGGCTAACAGACTCTGAACCCTTAGAAAATCACTTCTTTAGAAGAATATTTAAAGCTAGAAGTTACTTTTTTGTTGAATTAAGGTTTTGCAGTCATTTTACAGAATACGATTACATATATTTTAGTTAGCAGATGTCCTTTACAAAACATGCCATTATTTTGAAACTGAGATAATTTTAGAAACATCATACAAAGAAGTACACAATCTGAATTTCTCAATAACGATATAACGGAATTTAAATTTTGAGTAGCATAAGGCAGTATCTGAAAACCGTTAATTCAGTTCCACTGCACGTTTCTCCTAGTTACAAACAGCTTCAATTTTGCACATAAGCATTGTGTATACATTTCAAACATGAAAACTGGAATCAAAGGCAGACTATAGAATACAAAAGAATAGAAAAAGATGCTGGGCAAGGACTTTCGGTTTTTCACTTTATTACTGTGGTAACCACTAGACATTACTCCTCATGAAAAAACGCAACTATTAATGATCATTTCTACGTTGAACGTGACTTATAGATACCTACCTTGTAAGTCCAGTGCTACCACAGCAGTATCGTCTTCTAATCCTTCAATCACCTCACACTTATATCTCCCATAATCTTCCAGAGTGAGGTCTGTGATGACCAGAGAAGCATCATTATCACTGCCTCCCTTCAGAAACACCCTACCCTGGTAGCCTCCATAGGTTTTTTTGTGGTATCCCATGGAAACAAAAACATCCACTTCCTTGAGGTAATCCGAAGTTAGCTTGGTCCACTTAATTCGGATTTTATGGATTCCTGAGCCAAATGCTGTAGGGTCTCGATAAAATTTGCATGGCAGTGTAACATTGCCACCTCTGTGTGAGAACACCTTGGCTTGCTCTGCTTCCACAAGTAGACGGGGGCCATTTTCTGCTATAATTAAAAAGGAAAAAAAAAAGAAAATAACTATTAATATACTTTCAGACATTTTTGTAAAATGAAATACGTTACATATACAGGATATCTGACAAAGGATAGCTTTGGGTGGTTAGCTTCTCTACATAATCTCTTTTGAACCATATGGAAAGTGACCTCTAATAACTAGAGGGTATCTCTAAAGTAGTCGTGTATTTTAAACCAAAGGGAAAGAAGTTACATTATCGTCAGTAAGAAATATTGGATATAAGACTTCACAGTCATTTGAAGGTCAAAGATTTCATAATAAATTCTATTTATTATCGTTTCAATTTTTTTCTTCTACATTTACATATCAAAAATATAGAAACAAGACCAAGAGAAGTGAGAGAGTTGCATGACGGGTTCATCAGTATAAACCCAAACATTTCAAGGTAAGGTAAACCCAGCTGGGCTTTCTAATACAATAAGTTTGTATTGTACTTACAGGCAAAATATGAAGCAACATGATTCACTTTCATTGTACTGTTCTGGCCAAAGAACTCAGAATATCCTCACATTTATGACTTCTAGTCAAGTATACACCTGTGTTAGGCTATTTTGAAACCTTTCAGGAAATATGTATTTCGTTTTCACAGAAAGATTAGACAAAGGTAATTTTAGTAAACGCTTTTGACAAATTCCAGAAGATTTTGAAATGTATTCCTCAAAATTTGAATGTTAAAAGCATATCCAAAGTTATACTTCTTTTCCAATTAACCAAATAATTATTTCCTTCTTTACCCCCTCAAATATCCTTCTATTCTCTCTCTTTGCTTTCTGCTATGTCTTATTTTGCAGTTATCTTATCACTTCCACCTTTCCTTTCCTTGTCCTTTTGTTTTCCTCCAAGGACTTCATTGCCTTCCAAAGAGCACCACAATATCCTGAGTCTGCCAAGTCAGCAGGTCTGCCGTTTTCTACATACCAGCTGTTATTTTCAGATCTTGGCTTTCTCTGGGGTTTCCCCCTGGCTAGCACATTGTGCTTTTGACCTTGACAGTGTCTTTTGAGGATGTGCAAGATTTGAAAATGAGAAAGTGATATAAGCTTTCCTGGATATGGATATCTTTGTGTCCATACACAGCTTTCAAAGCTGCCAAAGCTGCCCTTCACACAACTCTACAGACCTCCTGCCTTGGGCAGATAGGTGTTGAATAATCCTTCACCATGAATCATTTAAGATGTCCAGGTCACCGAGAAGAGTAGCCATGTTGAGACACACAGTTATTGAATGGCAAATATAGGATTTGGATTTTAAAATAGAAAGTGTCCAAAAAATAGACATAGCATCTCTTTTTTTATCACACAGCAATCAGAATTAATATTTTTAATGAGCATATCATTTCATTTATAAATGATTTCCAAGCCTCAAAAAGCCGAAAAGTTTAGCAAAGCCATCAATACCCCTCACTTTGAATAGATAACGAAATGCAAGGATAATGGCTTCATTTAGTATTTAGTTAAGAGGAATCACAAATCCAGCTCATTAAGCATTTCCTTTATTTCCATTCTTGAGCTCATTATTTAGGACCATAGAATCTCAAGACATAAAAGATAAATCTGTGTAATTCTACCCTACATACAATTTTTCCCAGGCAATATCCACAATGCCTGCATGCAAGTTCTACTGAAACATCTCTAGTGTCTTCTTTCTAGGGGGAGGAAAAAGTGCTGTCGACTAAGTTTTCTCAGTAATGCCTGAGGGTCATAGGAAACATTTCCTTACCAGTATCTTCTGGGGGGCAAGGGTTGGGGGTGGAAACTTCCCACACTGGAACATAGTTTAGATAAGACACATGGCTACAAGAGGTCTCAGTCTCATTATTCTTTCAAGTTGTTTGGTTAAAAGTCAAAAATAATGCCCAAATGCACTGGCATAGAGGATATTATACAAGTTGCGAACAAGGGCTCTAATGTGACATCGACCTTGGTCTAACCTCACTTCCTCAATTTACTAGCTCTGTAGCCTTGGGCAAGTTGTGCAACCCCTAAGCCCTAATTTCCTTATATGTGAATTACAGATACTATTACCTACAATATACAATTAACCTAATACACATAAAGGGCTTAGGACAATGGCTGACCAATATGAAGTGTACACTGACTACTAAACTGTTCCTACTGCATAGATTTTACACAGTATTTTCCAACTAAGATACTGCCCAATATAGAGCATAGTTTTGTCATATATTAGTCTTCCATAATTTCACTTATTTATAAAGTTTTGAATCATGTGGAGTAAAAAGTAAATACATAAAATGCCACCTGTGAGACTTGGAAATAGGAGACTTGGAAAATTGGGAGGTTCAGTGTAATCATAAACGGTTCCAGAATGAACACAAGGTCTAAATGTTTTATAAATTAAAGGGTTAAGGCAAAGATCAAAACTCTTGTATAAGGGACTCAGACTTCTAATTTTTTTCTGTGGTTAACTGTAAACCATCTTGCAGTATTTTAGAAGTGTAGGCTTCTCATTTTGTTTGTGTTTTACTTCTACTCCAGCATTGTGACTAGAGGATGACTTGTGTGATATAATGTTGAAAATTAAGCAGATACCAAACATCCACTGACCCTCACCCAAAATAGTTTTTTAAACAAGCCTATCAAAATGTATAAAATTCTACCATTCTCATTTGTTTTGGGGTGTGTGTGTGTGTGTGTGTGTGTGTGTGTGTGTGTGTTGAGGTAATAGATGCCAGAAGTCTTTGACTGAAATTCAAAGAACCCTAGCAAAGGTATGTAATGTATTTACTGACTAAGGCCATTAAGTTTCCTTAGGCTAAACCTCCAAAAATGGCCTTGAGAATAATGGTTTTGTTTGTTTGTTTGCTTTTAGAAGATCTACACTGCAGACTATATAGCACTGAGCATTGCTGGAGAAGTGGTCTGTTGCAGGCTCTCCCATGCCTTAGCTGTTGGACTCTGATAAGTCTACCTCATGAGAATCTTGAGCTTGCAGTTTTTACCAGGTGCTATATCACAGGTTGTCATCACAGGGACCAGCCAGGAAACACGCTGAAGTAGACAGGGAAAGGAAAGGGATGAAGACAGAGGAAAGGGAACCACAGGTGCTGATTACAAACTTTGCACACTCTTGCCTAGAGAAAGTCTTGCATCTGATCATTGGATTTAAACTCCTAGATCAGTTTGAAATTAATGTTTAAATCAAAACTGTTTGATTGGGGCTGGGTGCAGTGGCTCACACCTGTAATCCTAGCACTTTGGGAGGCTGAGGCAGGCAGATCACTTGAGGTCAGGATTTCGAGATCAGCCTGGTCAACATGGTGAAACCCCGTCTCAACTAAAAGTACAAAAATTAGACAGGCATGGTGGTGCATGCCTGTAGTCCCAGCTACTCAGTAGGCTGAAGCAGGAGAATTGCCTGAACCTGGGAGGCGGAGGTTGCAGTGAGCTGAGATTGCGTCACTGTACCTCAGCCTGGGCAACACGGCAAGACTACGTCTCAAAAAAAAAAAAAAAAAAAGAACTGTTTGATTAGCAGGCTGTTGCACAGCAATTGAAACGCAAAAGATAAAAATAAACCTTGATCATTAGAATAAGTATTGCTTGTTTTTTTTTTTAAATAAAACTATGTAGCATACAACTGTCCATTTCTCCTTTCCCTTTCAGTATGAAAAGGTGCACATAAACATTTGCATAGTGTTGAAGAGCTTAATTTTGTCCATAAATGAGGCTGAATGTTGAAATTGGGGAAACTGCAGATGTCCAGTGGGGGACAGAAATTTTTTAAAGTGCAATTTACAAGTAAATAATTTCCCCATTTCCATTAGTGACAATGACTTGAAAGATCTGATGCCCTTCAAAGCTCAGAGTTGTCTCCAGGGGAAACAACAGGGCCTGGTGAGAACACTAATGGGGACTCACTGAACCGCTGGGGCCTCGTTATTATCTTACAAATTCTGCTGTGAAATCCAGAGGACATCATTTAGTTTCACCAAATAATAAAAGAAATGGCCTGAGCAAACAACTGATCTTTATACTTGCTATGAAATTTAGACGAAGACTTTTAAACAATAGGACAAACACAACTGGAGAAGAAAAACAATTGAAAACTATGACATTGAACCACTGCCTATTTTTCTTAGTCCTAATAAAAGCATAAAAATTTGTTTGGCAGTTCATACCCACAGAAATCTAGGTGATAGGAAAAAGGAAAGGGTGCTTTGGGATCCAAAAGTTATGTTGTTTTTTGGCTTTTTTTTTTTTTTTTTTTGAGACAGAGTTTCACTCTTGTCGCCCAAGCTGGAGTGCAATGGTACTATCTTGGATCACTGGCAACCTCTGTCTCCCAGATTCAAGCCATTTCCTGCCTCAGCCTCCCAAGTAGCTGGGATTACAGGTGTGTACCACCATGCCCAGCTAATTTTTTGTATTATTTTTAGTAAGAGATGGGGTTTCACCCATGTTAGCCAAGCTGGTCTAGAACTCCTGACCTCAGGTGATTCAACCGACTCCCAAGTGTGTGGATTACAGGTGTGGAGTCACAAAGTTATGTTTTTAATCCATACAAAGTCATACCTTAACTTTGGTCATTTGTAGTTATACACTTTATGAATCATCCATGGGAAAAGCAGGACGTACATGAAATTGGGAGCCATCCTGGAGAAGGACAGGGATGATCAGCTGTCAGGGGCTTCCTCACTCCTCTCCAGAGAGCCTTTCCCACTAGAAAGCCGCCTTTTTCATCCCTCCCTTCTCATGGTCCTTACACCACTCATTTTGAAAGTGAAGCTCTTGAGGAACCTCCCTGATACAAATCAAAATTTCAATGTTAAAAAATAAGTTTTTCTTTTTAAAAAGAATTGAGGATGGTGCAAGATAGCCAGTCTTGATGTTGGTTACTTTCTCCACCGGTGTATGGATGAAGTAGCCTTGAGACTTTTGGATTTCCTAAGATCAATAATAATAATAATAATAATAATAATAATATAATAATAATAAATCCAACTGGGAAT